TTAGTGAGCAATAGTGCCCACCCAAAGCAGATAGGGAACAGGCAGTGATGTTCTTATACGCAGGTCACAGTGGGCTTTGTGGCCTTTTGGTCCTGCAATCACACTTGAGAACACTGGAGATTATATAGAGAGATAAGATAAAATGAGTTCACCATATGCGGTGGATCTCCAAACTTGGCAGTAGTAATACCCACTTCCACATTTTCATAAACATGAAGATATTTAATTGGTCTCAAAGTGTATTTAATGACAATTTAAAATGTGCAGACAGCTATGTGTTTTATATGCGCCTAGCTCATTGGATCTCAGGAGAAATCTCTGGGGTAGACCTCTTATTCTCATGATTTATAGAAAGCGCTTGAGCGGGTTCATATGGCTGATTACGTGGTCGCACCAGAGTCTAAATCCATGTCTGAACACTACGCTCCATCTTCTTAGCCACCAACCAGTAACACATATAATGAAGACCACGATTTTCAAAGTATTTTCTCAAATTCCTAAAAAAAAAATATTGCCTGTTTGTACGATGTCACAGATCATAAAAGAAGCATAGTTACAGCTTCCATGAGGAGTCACAGCCATGTTAAATTTCATGCATTTGGTCTTCATAGCTACAACCAGCCTTCAGGGCAAAGTGAGCTTAAATTTCTCATCAACATCCATGTACCCAGTATCAGAGAACCTTTGCATACAAGCTGTGGCAGACATACAGGCATACAACAGCTAGTGGAGATTCTCCGGGGTTCTCAGAAGCATTTTTTTTTTTTTTTTTGAAAACAGATCCTACTGAGATAAACATTTAACATACTCATTAAAAATTTTTAACTGCAGCCACTCTGAGGAGTGCCTAGGATAGTAGTGCATGTAATACTTTAAAATAGCAAGGATTGTTGATTTCTAGAAAGTTCTTTCTCATAGGGCACTTTATTGCCGTTCCTGGAGAAGACAATATATTACCAAAGTCCTTGTGTTCTTCCTTGCATTATCCTTTTCCCAAACACAATAAACCAGAATAATTGAGCTTTTAAAATCCTCTCATATATTCCCTTACCACTTAAAGAATAAAATGCTTTCTCTAGATAATTACTTTTCAATTTCTTTAAAAAGAGGATCCAAAAGGATTTGAGAAATAATTTGCTTCCATATGGCTCCAGAAAATTTTTCCAAAAAGACTTTGTATTGGGGGGAAGCACAGTGCCTGGTACAAACAAGACACCACAAAAAGTAGCTGTTGGCTGAAAGAAGAGTGTACCTACTTGTCTAGAAAAAGGAAAAGAGAGGTAAGTCCTCAATTACGCACATGCTAGCTGGTCTGTCTCTTACTATTTCTTTTCAATCCATATTTTCTATAAATCAGAAGAACAATGTCTGATAGCAGATTAACAGTCTGAGACCATGGATTCAAACTCCAGCACCCACACAAAAAAGATGTCAGCCCTAACCCTCACTAGTGTTAAGAAATTATTATGTTTTTACTGAGTACTAGTCATGTGCAGACTTTTTACTGGTTCTTAATATTGATCATTTTAAGTGTCATCTCCAGAACACATGTATTCATTCAATATAAAGTGGGTCATATTTAATGTGTCTCCTTGCATCCTGTCATTTTCCATTGTAGAATTTATCACAAGGTACAATTATTCACTTTAGGATTACTTTATTATCAAGAATCTCCCACCCAGATATTGAGCTTTATAAATATAGGGATCACACTGTTTTCTTTCTCACCATACATCTACAGCTACATTGTGTGCCTGATTCACATAGAGTCAATAAACATTAGCAGAATAAAGTTATAAATTCCAGCACTGACAGTTTAACTCAACAAAACACTGCTTCCCTATTTTATTGTGCTTTGTTTTATTTTACTGTTTTCGATTATTTTGCAAAACTATTGGAACTGCTAGAGAAGATCATCCCACTACTCAAAAAGTCTTGATTACATATTTTAGCATGTATCAAAGTAAAGCAGAAGGAAATAAATGATACTGACCTCTATTTGTGATTATGGCAAATATTGTTATTATTACAAGTATTTATCATACAGTAGTTTTGCTTTAACAGTTTTATACCCATAATCTCACTTAATTTAATAATCACCTGAGGAAAAATCTATCCTTGTTCTTATTATACATATGAGAAAACTGAGTCAGAGAGAGATTAAATCACACACTTAAAAGTCACACACTAGTAAATAGTGTGGCTGGGATTCTGATGTAGGCAGCCAAATGTTAGAGTTCATGCCACCGTTTTTAAAAATCAAGCCAAAGATACACATATGTGCACCTGTTGTTAGAAGACAAGCTTTAAAAACTTTGGATCAGAGCTCCAAGGATTTTGCATTTCAAGATAAGAACTTCACATGGAATATTGAAAAGAAGATAAATCAACTCTTTTCAACAAGTACAAATTCAGTTTAAATTAACTATTTTTGACAACTGAAATCATAACTGCAAAAAATAAAGATGGATTGAAACAGGTAACTAAGGTTGGAGTAGTAGTCTTTAGCAACTTCCTTTCCTCAATCCTTAATCTTTGACCCAAATGTCAGAAGCACAAAAAGAAGTCATCTCATAAGACAGCAAATGAATGAAATATTATAACAATGAATTCTAGTTATGCCACTGTTTTTATTTTAATCTATTTAAAAAGCAAGTTATCACAGGTGTTTTAGGTTTATATATTTAATCAAACAAAATAGTACTGTATTAATCAGGTTTCAGATTGGTAGGACAAAATATCTGATACCCACAATAAAATGAGAAGTTTAATTGTCTCTTGGTTTCTGAGCTCGCAGCCTATGGCCAGCTAGTTCAAAGTAGGAACACAGTGGGGCAAAGACATAGCAGAACAGAGTTGTTTATTTCATGGTGCTCAGAAGCCTAGAACAAAGGAAATGCTTAAGTGAGAAACATACATTCCCAAAGGATGTTCTCAATGATCTGCCTCCTACAGGGCCCCACTTCCAACGCTCTGACCACCAGTGGATTAATCCATCAATGAATATAGCACTCCCATTATCCAATCACCTCTCCAGAAGTCTCTAAATACAGTCAAATTGGCAATTAAGATTAAATAACACAAGATTTCAAAGCAAAATTAGAGATTGAGATTTACCATTATTTTAATTAAAAATGAACTATTACAGAAACATAGATGGTTAATAATGAAAATTATTATCACGGAAATAATAACTATACCACACAGCCAACTCACATTTCCTACTTTATGCCAAGGATATGGCGGTACCAATACAGGCTTCACTGCCATATTTGTCTCTGCTTTGTTGATGGGGCTCTCCATGTCACAGCCAAAACCTAACATTCTATAGACTCCACCACATGTCTAAAGATAGGGCAAGGTTCTGCTCTAGTTCTAACTAGAGACAGTTTGAAGATCAAGGAGTATTATGGTTACTTAATGGAGGTTTACCTGCACTACATTTCAGAAAGAAATTCCTCTATTTTTAAATGTTCAACAATAAAATCTATTCTTTGTAGACTAGATCTAGTTCAAATTCATCTTCCAAAAATGGATTTTGTAGGAGGAAAGAAAACAAAAAATAAACACAGGAAACCTATTTGAATAATGATATCAGCTAGAGTACACAACCATTTGTTTTTTTATCATTTGCTCTTGTTTTTTTTTTTTTTTTTTTTTTTTTTAATGCCATCCTGAAACTCCAAAAATGATACATGAGAAGATTTTAAGTATCATTTCAATGTCTTTGGTCAGTCACTTTCATTTTGTAACATGGAATTTCTGTTCAAACAGCAATACAGAAAAAATTAGATTGACTACAAAGCTTCAGGATGAGATCAATGCAGGAAATGGAAATGCATTTCTGCTAGGCAGCATTTACATAAAACCCTTCTTTGAAAGAAATCAATGTTATTCACCTATTCAACCCCACTGATGTATGAGAGGCTTTTAAAGAAAAAATAAAAATAAGACTTCTGAAAGCAGGATTTCTCACAAGATTTCATCAGTCTCCTGGTACAGGGGAATAAGATGTGCTCCTGCAGGAGCTGGGACACAAGCGCGTTCACTTTGATTTGCTCACCTGCCTCCAACCAAACCCAAGTCTCTAGGTAGGGAAGAAACCAAAGCTAAACAAATAGAATGGGTCTGTGGAGATCAGAGTCAAGGGACCTTCTCCAAAAAGAATTAAAACCTTTGAAAAGTAAATGTAAATCACATTTGTATTTCAAAGACACCTAACTGGGAGATTTTACTCAATATCAAAGTATAAATATTTAACTAGTGAAACTATGAAAATCGCAGTATTTTTAAGTTCAAAATTCGATCTAACTGACTCAAAATGGGTGTAGACACAAAAATCAGTCGTTCTAAAAATTAATTGATTCTCCGAAATGCTTCATCTCTTCCTGTAAAACACTTAGTAAACGCTAGAGCAGAGCGCTGAGAGGTGGAGACTTCCAGGAGGGTCTCTGACATCTGTGTAGACCAGCTCCCAAAGGCACACTTCTGAGGGCTTTGATATTCACAGAAACTCAAGGCAGAATTTCCTAATGAATATACTAGGAGTATAGGTTCCTCATGAATGAATCATGCACTTTGAAAATTCATAGAGCCAAAACCAACAAAGGATATTAATGCTTACCATCTATAGCTTATCCTGAGTGAAACTGGCTGTGTTAGAGAATCCTAACACTGGTCTGCTTTTTTAATTAGATAAATTTTTTTTATTTAAGGAATTTCACATGATGTCTTTAATACTCATCAAAGTCACTTAATGAGGCTTTTTTCAAGATAGCCCTTTCAAAGGATTTGATGCTTAATGAAGTCATTCAATCTACCCTGCATAAGAATATAAAAATATTTTTTCAGTCATAGTGAGTTTTGGAGGCAGCTGGGGTCCTCTGCTTATAAACTGATAAAAGCAAGCCTGCAGAGATTTAAGCATACCCTATGGAAAGAGTAAGAATTATAGCTGTAGCTGCTGTAGATAATACTGGACAGTGTTCACCTAGGCAATGTAATGTTCCCAACAGTTTGATTGCTAACAAGGTAACAGATAGAAAACCTAGTGGAAAATTATTTTATGGTCAAGTCCACAGAAGATGAGAACCTTCTTTCTAAAAGCCTTGATAATGACCACACTGGTCTATTCAGCCTCATAAAAGAAATTTCAGGAAATTAAATGCTATAATGAGTTGTTTCCACTCTTGTACTGTGAGATCTAATCTTCACATGCAATCATGATTTTTTATTTTAATGTAACATTTTAAGATTCACATACTTTTTAGAAAACTTTTCCTCTGAAGAATGATTTAACTAACTAGTATTTGAAACACTGGGCAAGAAATATTTTCTCTGTCAAAGCAGACAGAGCTTCAGCAAAAATGTGTTCTCTTTCACAAAAATATAAAAGAGGGGCAAGTTTTGGGGTTTTGTTAGATAATGTGAGTTATCAGTTAATGTACTACTTTCTGTATTTAAGACTTTGAATTGGAAGAAAGGAAATAGCTTTGCTATGTAGTTGAGATGATTTAATTCATACAGACTTAGAGAGCAAGAGACTATTTGGGAACATCTGACTATGATTTCAAATAGTTTCCCTTTAGAAGAACAAACATCGAAAACTGAAAGTTTATATCTGGCTATGATTCTAAAGTTTCCCTTTCGTTCCAAACGTTGAAAATGGAAAATTTTCTTTAGAAAGTGACAGGTACCTGTCAAAACTATAGATACACAAAATATAAGATAGGTATTTCCTGTAGATATTTGGGGGATAGTGAAAATATATATTATAAAATTATTGCAAAAAAACAGGTAAAACATGTTTTTTGACAGCTAAATTCATTAAAACAAAACAAACTGCAAAGTCATGAAGTTAAAAAGAGAAATTAATAACAAACATTAAATTTCTCCAACATAATAAAATTCCTACAACTTCCTGTTTTTAATATCAATTGGGTTGAGAACTTAGCAAAGAATGTGAAAAGAGTATTCTAAAAAAAGAAAATACTAAAGCTCTAAACAGAAGGAAGGCTATTCAGCCTCAGTTCACATTTTCCCTATTCTTATTTAGACTCCAATGTGCTAAACTTTTATCTTTCAAATTAGCTAAGAAAGGCCTGGGGATATAGCTCAGTGACAGAGTCTGCCTGGCAAGTGCAATGTTGTGAATTTGATTCCCGGTACCAAAAAGAAAAAACACACACAGAGAAAAAATTCTAACAGTTGTACTGACCTGGATGTTGGACTATGGGCCTTATCATGCTGGCCAGTGTATATAGGGAGAACAACTTAAGATTATTTCAGCATTAAATAAGCATGTATCATTTTAGCTAGCAATTAATTAGATATATGATGTTCTTATTAGATATGTTCACATGTTTAAGAAAAAATTATAAAACATCAGTTTTCACCTTAGAGTTAATTTTTTCTCTTTTGAAAATTGCTTAGGATTGATTAATACATATTTGCAATACATAAACATTACATTTATCTTAGAAATTTGTACATATGCATAACACATTTTAATAATATTTAGTCCTCCTCTTGCCCCACTATTTAGACTGCCCTCATCCTCCATCCCCTTCCAATCTCCAAGAAATCTACCTTCTACCATTGTTTCCTATCATCTGTCTTTTATTTTGTTCTTTGAATTATTCATAACTTGGATTTCTCGTATAAGATAAATCATGTGATACTTAGTTTTCTGTGTCTGATTTATTTCCTTTAGCATCACCATCACAAGGTGCATACATTTTACTACCAGGAATTCAAATATATCTGTTATTTTCAACAGATAAGGACTGGAAGCAACCCAGATATCTACAAGAAACCATTTGAAAATCTAGAGAAAAATAAAAGAGATATAAACGAGGGTGGAAGAAATCTTTACTTCAAATGCTTTTTAAAGACCATGCCTTGGAAGAAATGATAGTGTTTCAATAAAAGTTACATCATTGTTTTAGAGAAATAGAAGTGTAACAGAAATCTTAAAGAAACAGAAAGACTTAAACAGCAAATGAGGAAAACAAATGCAATAAATGCAATGGGAAATGTGTATCTCTAATACAGAAAGCACTCATTCACACCAGAAAGGTGAGATCATTTTTTTTAAAATCAAACTGAATAGAATACTTAAGTCCAAGTACATTCAAAGCTAATCCAACCAGACCAAACTAACAGTGGCTACTTCTGATGAATTTGAAGGCTGGAGATCTTGTCTCTTCATTACAGCCTAATTATTACTATCAAAATCAGGTTCATCAACTCAAGTGCATCACATTGAATTTATCCAATAAGAAAGAGGCTCCAAAAGCATCAATCTGGTTTTATTTCAGATGCTATTTCCCTCCTATCCTTCAGAGTCAATAAAAATTGCACTGTTATCAATCCTATTAGCCTATGCTCTGACCTCTACCCATACGTATTTATCTTCTAACTGAAAACAAATTTCTGTTTATTTTGCACTCAAAAAATGACCTTTAAAGAAGAAAAAGAAACCCAAATCAATTGTCTACAAATATGGAAGACAATTATAAGAGAATCTAAGCTCTAAAATGTATCTGCAAGTGTGTGCGTGTGTGTGCATGCACGCACATGCTGTTGGTCATTGAACTATATGCATCTTCTCTGTTCTTAAGATTTGATTTTTTTGTGCTACTTTTGGGTGCTGAGGTTGTTTTCATCTCAGTAGATGTTACTTTCTTTTATGACTTTGAGATTTGCTGCTGCTTTGTAATAACAGAAGAAACTCTATTAAAGGTCTTTTGAATTAGATACCAGTGGTAATCAATTTTCAAAATGGTACTTTTAAACACTAAAACTAGTATTGACAGCAAGTACCATTTTCTCTCTAGCATCTCAGAAATGCAAGAAGGCATTATTAGGTCCCGTTTAATTTCCATGGCTTTGTTGCTCCATTCAACGACAGGATACAATACAGATGGAGAACAGATGGAGAAAATATGAGTCTGTCATTCTAACTGAGACTTTTTAATAAGGTACCCTTTCTTTGGGACCTAACTCTATACACAATTCAAAGCAGCAAAAGAAAGTCATTCTGTGACTTAGTTTGTAAAGAAAGATTGTTTCTCTGAAGGAAGCTTCTATACAGGCTACTTTTCTTTAAATCAAAAGAATTACTTATTAGACACCAGCACAGAAAACAGGGACATACTATTCTGCAAAGGCTGGCCAAACAGTCTCATTCTGAAAATTAGAATGAATGTTGCAGTAAGTATGAACCTTGAAGAGGAAGGCTGAACAAACTAAAGAAAGGAAACATTTAATTTTATAAGGAACATTCATATCTTTCATTTAACTAAACAAAGAACTTGGGGATACACCCTAGATACTGGATTTACTGTTCTTTCTCCATAATACAATCTGTTCCAGCCAAGAAAAGACCTGGTTCATGACCTAGCAGTGTAAGTGAATGAGTAAATAGAACTTTATATGTAATGGGAACATTTTAAGATTTCTATGTAGTTGAACATATTTGATTCATAGTTATCCTCATAAAAGTTTACACAGAAAGTATCTATCATTATCCTTTTTTTTTTTTTAGAGAAACTGAGTTACCAATAACAAGTAAATTTGCCAATGTGATGCATCTAATGAAAAACAGAACTAAATCTTAGATTAATCAATACACCTACTGTATGTGAGTTTGGACAATTTACGTATATGGTATTATAATCAGCCTCTTAACTGTAAAACGAAATAGTGCTTTCATTTTAGGAGGTTTTAAGAAGTAAAGTGAAAAATATACAAATTAGTGAAAGCAACAGTTGGCACACAGTAACTCCCTCAACCTCATTTGAAAAAAAAAAAAGGAAGAAAGAAAAGTACTCATTAATAGCATTGGAGACAAGGTATCTGAGATTCCTTGGCTCTAACTACATCCTTGAGGAGATGGTGGTGTGACAAGGTGAAATTCAGGTGAGTATGCAAAGAGAATAACAAGAGAAATACTGTGAAGACAGACAAAAGAAAGTTAGATATGGAGAGAGTGGTAAATGATTAAACCAGAAAATTAAAAAGGAAACTCTAACACAGATATCTTCTGTGCAGAAGTGGAAAATATAAAATAATGGGACCGCATTCGGGATGAACTTGTTTCAGAGCCAAGCTTGACTGGGGCAGCGAGAGATTAACTATGTAAGTAAAATGGGCTGATTAAAATTTTCTGAATGAACAGATGGCAAAGGTCAAGCAGAAAAGATCTTGGTATTATTGATAAAGGACTTCATCAAGTCATAATGGGGAGAGGGTATAAATATTTATTAAAACGACAGTCAGTCCAAGTCAACGTAAAGGTTAACAAATCCTTTTCGATGGTGGCACAGGATATCACAGCATTGCTAATTCAAAGGCAGACTTACAGGAAACTTCAAAGAAAAAAACCTTTGAGAGCTGTGATTTCAAACTATTTAAATTAGAAAAAGTATGTCTAATTGCTACTTGCAGAATTACTTCTAACAAGTGACAGGATGTTTGGTGTTCCAGCACATTTATTTTATATTTGTTTTGCTTCTTTTAATTTTCATAGGTCATTACTTTTAAAAAAAATTTGATCAAGAGAATGGAGTAATAACAAGTGAGAGACAGGGTGGAAAGATTGATCTTTATGAGAATGAGAAGGGCTTTGGACAATGTTCTCCGCCATAAATAAGGGATCTGAGTTATAAAAATTTTAAAATTCACAAAGAAGAACATATTGTGAAAAACACTTACATGGGAAATCGCCATAGTTGACGATGTCTGCATTTACTTTTAGAAATTTCTTTTCACGGAGAACAATATTAAGAGAGAATCAAGACAGTATTATAAAATCACATGAATGTGCTTAACTAGTTTTAATTCAATGCAGAGTCTGTACTCAGTATCCTAGACTCAAAACTACATTTTAAAGAAGACACAAAGATTTTTAAAAGGTATAGTTCAACAAGGGAGTCACAACACAAGTATTCAACAACAGTTTAATGAGGCTTCCTATCCCAAAAGTACAATGCTATAGGAGAAAATAATTCAATATGGTACAGTACAAAATAGACTGAAAAAGTTAGAAATCAGGAAAATCTGCATGCACAATATACAGTACTGTGTGAGCAGAATTTCTCTGGCAAATGAAGGGGAGG